GAACTAAATATCTCACACTTTGACCGATATTTTTTGTAAAAAGTCAACTATAGGTGCTGTGGTCCATATATTCGGTACCTTGGGGCTTGCACAGTTTTGGTTCGATATGGACAGTTTTTGTTCATAAGGTGGCATTATTGGTGCAAAGTTTTATTCCGATACATTTATTTTTGCTTGATTTGCATACTAGAAAGTGAGAGTATAAAAACGTTTACTTTGGCTGCAACGAAATTAAAACCGATATCGAATCGAACCGATTTCTTATAGCAGCTATATGTATAAATAAATCTGAAAACGTGACCGACCCACGGAAAACTTTTTGCTAGTTCTTGAATGGCAGCGATATGCTATAGTAGTCCGATTTGTCTTAGACAATAATCTATGCCAAATTTGGTGGAGATAATTTTTGAAAACAAAAAAAAGAAATCCATACAAGAACTTGATTTAGATCGGTCAGTTTGTGGGCGCTATATATACGCATTGCTTGGTGAGTTGAGAGAGTGCCAGTTCCAGTACATACAGACAGACATAGTTACATAAATCAACTCAGCTCGTCACGCTGATCATTTATATTGCACATATATGTATGCATATATGTAAAAGACTTTTACTCCGAGCTGCGACGTTTTCTTCTGGGTGTTACAAACTTCGTGGCAAACTTAATACACCCCGTTCAGGGTATAATAAAATATGACTGATAACTGTTGTTGACCTTTGTATTAAGTTAATTTCTAAATTAATGCGACCACACCCCATTTTTAAAGATTAGCAGCAGCTAGGCGCAAGTCCACTGCCACAAAGTGTAAATAATATATGGCTTTATGGTTTCATATACTTATAGTTTGATCGCAATTGTATTATTGCTAATGGAGCAATTTTATTGCCGCTAATCAGATCAGATTAGCGATTATTAAAAATTAATAGTTTTGTGACTTCTAAAAACTCTGCTGCATCATCATAGTGTAACAGTAATTCAAATTAAAAAGAAATTTAGTTTTCAAATATTTGTTTCCAATGGCAAAAATAAATCTTATCAAATTTTTAAGGGTTTTTTCAAAAAATATTGTAAAAGGTTGTAGCTGTTATATATTAATAAAGCACTTGCATTTCTTCTTCTCCTAAATTGCTTTTAAATGCAAGAAAACCCAGAAATAAAATGTTGACCAGCGTTCTAATGCAATGCACGAGTATTTTGCCAATATTTATTCTTAGATGGCAAAAATGCAGATAGGTGAAAACCTGTTGAGAAATTACCATGTCATCTTTATGCATGTTTATGTACATACAATACAAGTATATATATATATATATATATAGTGTATTTCTCACTACCAACAACCAGCTCGACAATAAAATTCTTAATAAACATACAATAATAAATTAGTACAAGTTCGCATATCATCGTTGGGTGGCGCGAACATTTCGTTGTTTGTTAAGCGAAGGGGCGTGTGCACGCGCATGTACCACACAGCCGATGCCACTAGCTCGAATTTAAATATTGACTAGTTCCTTTCGCTTTACAACTAGTTTTTTTTTTAACCAGCTGCGAATTAATTTCTAGCGACTACATACATATAAAGAAGTACTAACCTTATTTCGAAAATGAAGCACAAATATGTTGGCATAAAATAAAATATTATGTATTTACTTCTCTGCTTTACATTTCACTAAATTTTAGGTTACTTTCTGACATGTTGGATTTCACGCAGATCCAAATATTGCAAGTAATCTACGATCAGTTTATAAGAGTATACTTTACTGGCTGAATCCTTTTTGGCTGTGGGGACGCTTTCTTCCCATGTCATTCTTCCAGTCATTTTTTATAGTCATAAGCCATTATTATCTCTGAACCTGCATAAGGCTAAGCGCGCAGTGGCTCTAAGAGCAAAAGATTATATAGTTTTCTTAAGATTTTGAAGGTCAATATCGTTTTCCAAAAAATTTAGTTATAAAATTCTTTGCCAAATTACTATTTCTCATGCATTATATGATAATTTATGGCTCTACATTTCAGGAAAAAAATGAAAAAGTCCATACGATTATTTGGAACCGGGTATAGGTCTTTATTTTTTAGCCCTTTCTGCTCAGAGATATTTATTATATTATTAGCATTTAATAATGCATTTCATATGTTTTTACCAAAATTGAATTGCCTAACTAACTTAGTTTATTTATTTTTTTTATGAAAAACAATTTACTACACAACTAGTGCCAAACAACTCAACTTCAGTCGCAGGTGTAAACCTTATACAGTGCACTAACAATATTCGATGTACTTCTATGCGATAGTAGATATTTACATACATATACAAATATAAATATGTATATAGTACTAATGTAAATCATATGTATGGTATATGCATTTGGGTGTATGTAAAGCATATATTTTGCATTTTTTAAAGACGATGCTACTACTGCACCTATGTATGTTTGTGTGAGTGCAAAATACGGGCTATTAACGACAATAACAACAACAACACTACGCAGCAAGTGGCACATGGCTTATATGTGCGTTTGCTCGCACGCTGGGCGTATCACCTCATTTGGTTTTCCATTGCCGATTGCCGATCAAAGTTCAACAGTGAATTAATCGGAAGAATAAAAACGAAATAAAAGAAGAAAAGGTGAAGAAGGGAAGCTAAAATAAAACAAACAAAAAAACATCTGCAAATATACACGCCAATGTTAGCAGGCAACGTGGGCTGATATATTCGCCGATATATCTATAATTAATACATAGAATTGAATGCATTTAAATAACCAAATAGAGGTGCATTATTAATGATTAGTATTTTTTTATAGACAAAGTAAAAAAACAAAAAAAAACATATGTTTATTGACAAAACTCGATATTTGTATGCAACGTAATTGCCATCGAGGTCACAAATCATACATACACCGATCTTCAAAAATTGTCGTTGCAATTTTTGTAAAACAATGTGTCTTTTGCGTCAAAATAAGTTTTATTTTCGGTGATTATCTTTTAATTTTGTTCGTTCAACTTTGTTCGCGCCAGCATTCTCTTCAACGGTTAGACCAGTCTAGGTCCCTAAGAAATTACATAACTTTGAAATTGTATATTGATATTGTGATACAAAATGGCAATCTTCAGAACCACACTTTTCAAGTCGACCTCGCTGGATGACGATGATTCCAGCGATTCGTGCTAGCTGACACAACATAAAAAACCGAGTCTTAATCTGCATAAAACTTACATTAATTTTGCAAATAGCGGACATATTCAAAAAATATCAAGTTTCTGCCGCAAAAAGCAATAAATGGCTTATAAACAAGAAAAACTTGAACTTAGACAGCACCAACTCTATAATGCCTTTCACAGGTTCTTTCTTATTATCTTCATCTTTATTTTGGTCGATTAGTTTGAATGGCAGCTATAAAGATCCGATCTTAGTAATTTGTTCGCAGATTTGGACTTTGGATCATAGTCTATGCCGAATTACGTGAAGATCCTTGTTAAATAAAAAACTTGTCCATACAAAGTCTTGAGTTTGATCAATCAGTTTGTGTGGCAGCTATATACAATAAGCTACTGTAGTCCGATATTGGGAACTTCTTGGGGAGAACAGGACATGTGCAAAATTTCAGATCGATATCTCGAAAACTGAGTCACTAGTTATATCGTATCAGCTCGTCATGCTGATTATTTATTATATGCTTTATTGGGTCTCCGACGTTTCCTTCTAGGTGCTACAAACTTCGTGGCAAAATTAATATACACTGTTCAGGGTATAAAAAGTATTAGTATTCTACCAATTAAATAATGTTTTTAGAATCCTAATACCATATTCCGACCAAAAACTTGAAATGATTAGAGTACATTTATTCTATACACTAATCTAGACTGTCCTCACTGCCATTGGAGATTTATAACGCAGCTGTTTTTGACACTAAAACACACGTACATAACGAAAATTATGAGCGATATATCTTACGTTTACGTTTGACGAATTATATTTGGTATGCTAAACTAATAATACGAGGTATACTATTTTCCAAGCCCTGCACCCCCGCTCAGGTTTCAATTTAAAGTACTTTGGTTATAATTCATATGCTTTGAATTTTTCTGCTTATCAATTTCACTTACAGACTTCTAGTAGACTCTTTGTTGATTTATTTATACGTATTAAATCGTTTTAAGCTTTCACCCTTAATGCGATTTGTACCACTTATTTAATAGACCCATTCATTAAACGTAAATAAACCTTTGAACTGTAGTCTCGCACAGGCCTGATAAGCAATCTATTTCGTGCTTGCTTTCTTGTCTACCATTTTTGTTTTTATTAAATAGCAGCTTGAACTTGAGTCTATTGAACAGCACAAATTTTAATTACTATTTGCTTCAGTGTAAATTGTGCAACAAAGTCCACAAATAAAAAGCTTTCTTACTCCCAATATCAAAGTATAAGTATGAGAGACTAGCCAACTCTGTGCTTATCGAATTTTAAAGACCAGTATAAAATAATTGAAATCTTTAGACGGATTAGGAAAAACAAGCAAGGGTATCTTGATTGATAATCATATATGTTAATGCATATGGTTCTTTAGACATTGTATCGTCGGTGAAAGATCGTATTATATCGGCAGAGTTTGCGAAAATACTCTTTCTTAGAATTTTCTTACTGAAAAAGATTAAACAAATTGAAAAACAAGTTTGGGTGCTCGTGTTTTTTTGCCGGTATAGGGTGTTCTTCGAACAAATTCTCACACAGGGCGTTCTTTCACTCAATATTTGGCGGTATTCTAATTCGAAAATGGTAATTTTTGATAGAATCTTCCATCTCACACTGTCTACAGGTCTTCTAGATCAATTTGTAGCTATCCAAGCAGGATCCTTAGTGGCTTTTATCACAAGGATTGCATTTTTATATTAATCTAACCTAACCTAACCTAGACATATAATTTTAGACAGTACTGTTAATTGCTCTACCTTTCTCAAATTGGATTCTTATTAATAGTAAATGTTTTTCTTTCGCTTGCAGAAAACCGGGCTATGAAGACAAAATACAGTACACAATTGCGGAGAAGAAGGAAAAAAAGGGCGGCAAAGCTCACGTGAATGCGGTATTCTTCAAGCAATTGAGGCAGCTATTGCGTAAGTACGAGTATTATATTAGACATTTTGATACGAGCACCATAAAAAAATGTTTAAAAACTAACCCACCTAATACACAATATTCGCATACAAAAATATGAAAAAAGTACAGTTATATAATATCAATACAACAATTCATAAAGCTGACGATTTACCGTTAATCTCTTTAAAATTTTATCACCAATTATTCCGTCTGAATGAACAATATAAAATGTCGTCATGCTCTATTAGCTTTTGTTGCTGTTATTTTTCTATATAAATAATCGTAACTTTTTCAACAGCTGACGCTGTTTTTAAATAACTGCTATTAAATGCAAATTACGGCCATATTTTTTTTTAGAAATTTTGTTTACATTTTTTTTTTGGTAAAAAAGTCCAATTGTCAACTCTGTTTGTTTGTAATATGCTATTTTAATTTTTTTTTTATAAAGTTGGTAACCCTGCTTAAAAATATTCATATACATATGATATTTTAACTTCGTGGAAATAAAATAATTTCTAAATTAAAGCATTTATAAATTTGCTAGCTTCCATCAACTTAAAAGGTTAATATTAACATAGTATTAACTTTCCGATAATCTCATTGGTATGCAACGGTGCTACGAAATTACAAGCAATAAACATAGCCTCTCCGGCTTATGGGTTTTGTACTCACTTATTTCTTATAGCAGCATAAAACAATGCTCAAATATATTTGCAGAATGCTCTCTCTAGCATTTAAGTAAAAGCTGACAGGGTAGAAGAATCAGGTTTCGATTTGGTTAAGTAGCACCGGCTAATGCGGAAGCACATTATCATGCTTTATTAGTAAAAATATATTCATATATAATATTTTGATAAATACAATAAGTCCAGACAACAATTAATGCCTTGAACTGGAGTTATTTGGTTTTGAGCTACGATTTTGCAACTATAACCTGGGGTAACTCAATTTTAACACTGTCGGCCTCACGACCAAGTAAATTACAATAATGTTATTACGATCGTTCCATGTACTCGTGCACTTGTCAATTGTGATTAATTAGAACACCGCTAAAGCTCAAAAGTGTGATTTTGAGAAATATTGTACACTTCATGTCATATCTGTCTTCCTAACAAACGTGAACTACATACAGTGATGTGCATAGGAATAGTACACTTGGCATTAACAATAATAAAAATAATATTAAATGGTGGCTAATGGAGCTAGTTTGGTTTGCATTAGTAAAACAGTGGCCAAAGCAGATAGTTATATAAGTTGTATAGCGCCAGCTATTGTTTTGGAAACTTTTGTTAATTTTCTGGCCGATAAAAAGCGATTTTGTTTTAAGCAGCCTCGCCTTTTCGGTTTTAAAACCATTACTGTGTAATTTGTTGTCTCTTAGCCAGATTATTGCTTTGAAATCTTTGCCAAATACTTTCAAAAATACCACTGTGGCGTCGCAATCCACGAGTGCTCATAAAATCTGGTTCGTTTCGGTTATGTAACCTCTATTGTCCTGTTATTTGATGAAACAGTGATGAAAAGATGGGCGACTCTGAATAAGTCACCAAAACGTTCCTGTTGGAAGTCCTTTTCGTGGTATGATTTGATGAAGTGCTCAGTTACTGCTCCTACTTATATGGCTATCACTGTGCTCATACTCAGTTTCGAATTATAATCTGAGTCATAGCAGTTACGACGTTGACTAAAAGCAAAACGTGATTTGACCAAATAAATTGTTCTTCCTGTAACTGTTCCTACTTATATGGCTATCACTGTACTTAAATATGCTTGTATGTATATTAGTAATAATAATCACAATCGTTACGTAGATAAATTAACACTTTTCTGTGCTCATAATTTCGTTCGTTTTGTTTTGTAATATCAGGCGAGTTGCCTCGACCGTTCAACAGCCGGTTGTGTAATATAATAATGTAGTCACAGAATAGAGGTATTATGAATTATTGTGCAACAACATGCTAGTGCCATTTAGCACGTTTACGCTGTGAATCACTGTAAATTAAAAGTGAAGAGCGAGCGCAATGCCGGCTTTAGACGACACTTCGTGTGCATTGGGCCACCCATCGGTCGGTTTGTTCTTACTATTAGATTTCATTATTGCTATGTTGTTGTTATTATTGTTATAACAAGAGTCAAGTTTCGTTTTCATTATGATAACCTGATCAGTAGCTCCTGCACTACTGGATACCATTTCTAAAGGTCAAAATTGAGTTGATAGATGATCAATATTAGTGGTTAATTTCATTCATTAATTTTAGTTATCAATTATCAAATATGACAACCTGAGTTTTGACCTTTGCTTACAACAGTGCCAGTTACTATTATTCGTCGTGAGAATTGCTTTGACTATTCACTGCTGTACAATTTTCTAACCCGCAACCATCGATAAAAAGTGAAAATATCCATAAACACCGAACTTATTAGCTAGTAAATTCTCCCTGTTCGAATTTTTTAAGAAGAAAATGCTTGGTAAATGATTTGAAACGCCAGACAGGGTCAGTGATCTAACCCTATTTCCAAACTTAATTCTTCATACGAGCACAAACCACTCTGTTTTGCCAACAATATTCAAAGGCTCAATCGTACAGATTAGCTATACGTCGTTTGATTTTTTTTGGTAGTAGTTTCGATAATATATTTTGGTCAAGGAACAGGCAGAGAACTCTACGTATAATTTGAGTAGCTAATTTAAAATAGATGGACTTCCATATCCAATTTTAGTATAATCATAATAAACATAAGAAACAGATTTGACTCGTAATTATCCCGCAAAAAAAAGGTAGCAATAAGTATTGGATCATTCGAACAACTGTTTGAACTTATTCCAAGTCACGTGAACGGTGGCTTGGCAATATTTTCTCTGTTACTTTATAAATGGAAACAAACTCAAATTATAATCTCCACTTGCAAGCCAGAAAAAAAACGTTTTTTTTTTAAATTTTTTAAGAAGTAATTTTATTGAATAATCAAGGATTTCTACCCGTAGGCGATTTCCAGGATGACTTCCGAAAAAAGTGTCTGGCGGTGATAGATTTTTCTGCTTGAAATTATACTAAATTCAAACCAAAAATAATTATTCTTGCACTAGATGAGTATAGATAGTGATCGAAAAACTAGCCAAAAGTATGATTTTTGCCAAAATCGCGGCTTTCCAAAAAGTTGATTTTAGTGAAAAAATTTAAACTGCCAAGTGCCTTAAAAAATCGAAATACAAAATCCTTCGACTATTATATGACAAATATTAGATATATTAGAAGGTCGTGAGTAAATTTCGATCGTCAAGCCGTTTCAGAGAAATTTTGCTCACCAACTCTCTAATCATCGTTCATATCTCCGAAACTATATCCCGGACAACTTCAAATTTTCGGAGAATATTTTAAAATAGATGTACATTTCATATAACTACAAAACATGTAAAAAAAAAACTCGTGCTCAACAAATTTCGAATAAATGTGACAGACGATGCCTGTGGGCCGCGACAATATGGACTTTAAGTTAACACAGCAATAACAATATAATATCCATTTCGGTCTTTGTTTCGTTGTAAAGAGATTCTGGGATAGAATTGTATTGAACTCAGACTCAGAAAACATATCCAAATTGTGGCAAAGCCTGTAAAATTTCATTATATAATATATAACTATATATATGATTGAATAACATAATCACACCAGCTCTCCCACCCTGTCTAGCTTTTCTAGTATTCGTTCCGCCAAATATGCATTATTCCGAATAAAACAACAACAACAGTAATAAAACAGATAATTAAAAATTACACTGCATTTTATTATTAACCGCTCGGGTCAAGCATATTCTAACTGTTACACACGAGTACATTCAGGGACATATAGAAAGTTTATACATAAATACATACAAAGCTTTCACACAATACCACAAAACACTTTGCTGGAACGCATAGACATGCAGCCGAAGAATTCCGACATTTCTGACAATTTCGTGCACATTTTCAACAACTTCGGCGTTTGCGTCGCCGCTTCGGACAACAGATCTCCTCGAAATCTTCCGACGAGCAATCGTACATCGGCTTACAACGTCGACGTGAGCCACCGCAACCATTCACATAATCCCAAAACATTTCCAGGTTCAAAGTGACCTTACGTTCAATACGTTGATACTTCTTACGTATCATGTGAAAGTGATCGGTCGCCTGACCAACAAACGCCAATATGCCCAAACTGATCGAGGTGGTTGTTAGGCCCAATATAAGCGATTCATAGTTGACATAGGTCGCGGTAGACATGCCCATGATTAAGAGGAATGATTTGATCAAACGCCAAAAGAGTTTCTCCAGCGTACACCAGACGACAATGGCGCCGAATTCCGTCAGCAAAATGGTGACAATTGTCTCGACGATCACCTGACAGAAGTACGGTAAATGCATGTAACGTACCGGATAGAGGCATAAATCGGATATGAGATCCAACAGCGCAATGAGGAATATCCAACTGGCGAGTGAGGGCGCCGGCGAGCAGAGGCCCTTCTCCTGTTCGAAGAAGAAGGAGGTGCGCAGTACAATTTGAAAGAGCGCTGCTATGACAATAGCTGCTGTGACTGTCATTTGGACAATTTATTCTCTGCGCATGATGAAGAGGGCAACGAGTCGTTTTATAACATAATTTCGAGGTTTCAAATAATACTCACTTTAATTTTGATTGCTTTCCTAAATTAAAATCACAATGCTTTAATTACAAATATGCAACTTTTTTTTTTTTAATTTTTCTCTTTAACAAAATAATTTTTTACAACAAATCAAATTTGAGAACTTAACTCATTTATTTTGAAAAGTTTTACAAAGTCAATTTTAAATTGAAAAGCTGTTGTGGTAGTTTTGAAAATTGTTTAATTTGTGCTGGTTTTTGCAAGCATTTTCAATGTTCGCATAGGTCTCGGATCTGCTGGCAGAACTTCTACTATCTGATCAAATATGAGCCGGACTAACAGAAAAGAAAACTGCTTTTTCACGTATTCAAATCTTTATTATCGCCTGCAATAAAGGCTTCTGAGCCAATGCAAGCACGCCAATGCTTAATCCAATTTTTCATACACGACCTCAGCTGAAATGACCTTTAGTGTTTTGAGTGAATTCCACCAGTTATGATATATTTGATGAATTTGTGGTACTCAGTTACATTGTCAAGTTTTCTTTGCTCTACCTCTACTCGACGTAGTTTTTGTAAAAGTTTTACGTATGTATTTTGTTGCGGGTTGAGCATTAACACGCTTCATACCCAAAACATTAACCAAAATGTGTTCGAGTCGATCCCTAAGAGATGTTGAGATTCTCTGCTAACTCTCTAATGCCAACACGACGATTTTCAAGCACTGTTTCTTTAACTTTTTCGATGCTATCGCCATTGACAGAGGTTTGTGGACGACTAGCATTATATAAGTTTTCGATGACTTCACGCCCCTTATTGAATGCAACGATTCCGTAGTCGTGATTCCATTGGACACACAATTTTCTTTCGCTTCGTAAACAAACAACTGTCAAACACCCACTAATTGACATACTACGAGTAAACTTCATAAGAATAAAAAAAAAGAAAACTTTTTTACCGATCGACCAGTCCTTGTCAAATTTGATCAGATGATATATGATAGCGTATTATGACACAATAAGTTGTTTTTTTTGGCAATAATTGCATTTTTTGTCAGTTTCTTTCAAATATATTATTTATTTAATCCTCCTCCTTTTTAATTCCAGCCATACTCGTACCCCGCTTCTGGAGCGTTGAAAGCGGTTTGTTGTTATTGGTGGCCGCCTCGCTGATCGGTCGCTCTGTCAGTGATATTTGGATGATACAGAATGCCACCGTTGTGGAGAGTACGATCATACACATGAATAAAGATAAATTCAAATCCGCGCTGGTCAAATATTTAGCTGCTTTGCCAATGGTGAGTGCCACAAATATATTATAAATTTAAAATAATTTTTCAAATAATGCTTATACTCTTGACAGATATCGGTTGTCACAAATGTGCTGAAATGGAGTTTGGGTGAATTAAAATTGCGATTCCGTACAAATTTGACACATCATCTGTACAATCAGTATCTGAGGTAATTTCAGTTCATCTACCATTGAGCTAATGAAAATGGCTAAATCACTCTTTTTACTCCTTACAGCGGCTACACGTATTATAAAATGTCCAATTTGGATAATAGAATAGCCAATGCCGATCAATTACTTACCACAGACATCGATAAGTTCTGCGAGAGCGCCACAGATCTATATTCGAATATCAGCAAGCCCGTGCTGGACATATTTATCTATGTCTATCGCTTAACGGTCAATTTGGGTGGCAAGGTAAGCGCATTTACTCTTTATCTAGCATTAGAGTTGTATAACTCTTTCTCTCTCCTTCACAGACACCTTCAATACTTATGTTGTATTTGCTCTTCGCTGGCATTGTTCTCACGCGCTTGCGTCGCCCAACCGGTCGTCTAACGGTTGAGGAGCAAAAGCTGGAAGGTGAATTCCGTTATGTTAACAGTCGTTTAATCACGAACTCCGAGGAGGTTGCTTTCTATCAGGGCAACACACGCGAGAAGCTCACACTGCTGGCCAGTTATTCGAAATTGCGCACACATCTACGTAAATTCTTGGAATTCCGCGTTAGCATGGGTATTGTCGATAATATTATTGGAAAATGTAAGTATGCGTTATTTTATAACTGCCTTTCGGCTGGTTTTAAGTTTCCGACGCATTTTCTCATTTTGTAAATTTTCGTTATTCTTTTAGATTTCGCGTCTATTGTCGGTTTTTATGCAGTATCAATTCCATTCTTCACGGATAATCATCCTTTGTTGTCGGGCGAACACAGTGGTCAACGTTTGCAGGTTTGTATTTTTTATACCCTGAAAAAGTTATATTAAGCTTGCCGTGAAGTTTATAAGACCCCGAAAGAAAATTCGTAGACGCTACAAAATATATATATGTATGTATATAAATGATCAGCGTGTCGAACTGAGTTGATTAGGCATGTACATCTGTCTGTCCGTCTTACTGTCTGTATATACGCGAACTTGTCCCTGAATTTTTGAGATATCGATCTGAAATTTTGCACACGTCCTTTTCGCTCTCATTTGTCGAAACCATCGTTATCGGATCACTATAGCAATACAAACCGATCGATCAAAATCAAGTCCCTGTATTGAAAACTTTTTTATTTTACAAGATATTTTCACGAAATTTGGCACAGATTACTATATCGAAGAAATTGTTTAGATCGGACCACTTTGAGATATGGCTGCCATACAAACTGAGCGTTCGAAATCAAGTTCTTGTATGAAACAAATTTTAATTGAGATGCCTGCACGAAATTTTATCTGAATTATTGTCCAAAGCAACTCTACAAGCTCCGAATATATTGTTCAGATCGGATTACTATAGCATATAGCTGCCATACAAATATACATATCGAGTCTCACTCAAATAACCTCAATATATTTCATTTTCCACAGGCATACTACACTTACGGCCGAATGTTGGTGAAATTAGCCGAAGCTATCGGTCGTTTAGTTTTGGCTGGTCGCGAAATGTCGCGCTTGGCAGGTAAAATATTTTATAATATTACAAATAGTGATGATCATGAGTCATCTAACATTTTTACTATAATTTTGAAGGCTTCACGGCGCGCATGACCGAACTAATCAAAGTGTTGAGCGATCTGAATAAAGGACGATACGAACGCACAATGGTAAATAACGCTTTGAATGGCGACAATTGCTTCGGCCCCAACAAGGGTATTTTGACATTCATGGATAATATCATACGGTTCGAAAAGGTGCCACTTGTAACGCCGAACGGTGATGTGCTCGTGAAGGAGCTAAGCTTAGAGGTTAAGTAAGTATACAGTCCAAACTTTTATAAAGTAAAAATAATAATAAAACACGCAACTGATTATAGATCAGGCATGAATGTGCTGGTGTGCGGACCAAATGGCTGTGGTAAATCTAGTTTATTCCGCATACTCGGCGAGCTATGGCCCACATGGGGTGGCAAATTGACGAAACCACCACGTGGTAAACTTTTCTATATACCACAACGTCCATACATGACGCTGGGCTCACTACGCGATCAGGTAAATAATTGCACGTGGAGACTTGTGGAGACTTATACTAATATTTCTTTTTAGATAATCTACCCGCACACACGCGACGAAATGTTACGCAGCGGCAAGAGCGATGAAGATCTTATGAAATACTTGGACATTGTGCAGCTCACCTATTTGGAGCAACGCGAGAATGGACTGAACGCCATCGAAGATTGGATTGACGTGTTGTCGGGTGGTGAAAAGCAACGCATAGCGATGGCGCGTCTCTTCTACCACAGTCCGCAGTTTGCTATCTTAGATGAATGCACCAGCGCAGTGTCGGTGGATGTTGAGGGTAAAATGTACAGTTATTGTCGCGAAGCAGGCATCACGTTATTCACCGTATCGCATCGCAAATCGCTATGGACGCATCACGATTACTATTTGCAATTCGATGGACGTGGCAGCTACGAGTTCGCACCAATCGATCAGGCGAAGGAGCAGTTCGGCTCGTAAAATCATAAAATAAATATGCAATGCATTAATTTGTATGTAGTTAAAAAACCAATAGGCAACAGCAGTCAATAATTGTAATGTGGAGAACGCAAGTGCTAAGTGAGCACACAATTAAAGTAATATATTTTTGCGTATTTTCTTCCAAAAAATATCAACAAAATAAGTGAAGCGTTACAAAGCGCCGTAAAATCGTAAAATCAGTTTCAGAAAGGATCGTATATATTTTATATATTTTTTTTATTTTATCACGCTGGCTTCCTCACTTATATATATTTTCTATATTCCCGGCGTTTTTTTTTTCCTTTTTACATATTCAAATTGCCTTTTCGTTCCTATAAAAGCTCACTTACGACTTGCGCCCCTTCGCTCATTATTTACAACCGATTCCCCGTGTTTACAGTTAGTTGCTTAGGTGTGAAAACTTTTCGTTAGCATATTTAATGGTGATCTTTTTAGCATAAACAATTTAATTTAAAAGCTTTTATAATGCAATAATTTTTGTGTTGCTTAAATAATATAATAATTTTGTTCTATTGCTCTCGCTTAACTAAGTTGTGTGTATGTTTGTATTTGTAAATTGGTGCTGGAGGCAAAAGTAAATTGTAAAAGTGGCGACACTGAACTGCAACATATTTTATTTGTTTTTAGTTAATTATTTAATTATTAGCGCTGTAGCTATGTATGTATGTATCATACTTCCAAATATATAATTTATATCATATATATTTACCATTTAATATATACAATAATATATATATATATATATTTTGCATAGAGATTATTGTAATTTGCTTTTAAAAAATGCTGTTTGAGAAATTTGCTACGCAGCGAAATGGTGAAAAAAACTTATTTACAATCTTAACTGTACTTGTATACATAAAAACACTCTTGTATATTAATTATGTAAAGTAATAAAATAAATCGTGTAAACTAAAATTAATAAATGCTAAAAATATTGTATTCTACGAGTAGTTTTTGTTTCGCAATTATGCACTTTGAAATCTTTAATAAGGCAAACAAGTTTTACGACATCTTTTTACTCCGTTGTGAGGCTGAGTGTGATCCTGCGAGTCATCTTACATTAATCTGGGCCTCTTCTAAGAGATAACAGTTTGAAAGCACATTTGCAGAGTACTGTTAACTTTTCAATATTTTCAGCAACTACGATCGCGGTCTGTTAAGTACTTGAGCTACAAAAGAAAAACGAAATATTTGAAAAAATGGCTCTCGACTTCTCTACATAGTCTCATTATACTCTCAACAGCGTATATTAAGTTTGCCACGATGTTTGTAACGCTCAGAAGGAATCGTCGGAGATGCTATAATATAATATTTATATACCTTATATATACAATATATATAAATGATGCGTCGATATAGCCATGTCCGTCTATCTGTCCATTTTTCTGTATATACACGAACTAGTCACTGAGTTTTTGAGATATCGGTCTGAAATTTTGCACACGTCAATTTTTCCTCAGGGAGCTGCTCATCTGTCGAAGCCACCAAAATCGGACTACTATAACATATAGCTGTCATACAAACTGAACGATCAAAATCAAATGCTTGTATGGAAAACTTTTTTATTTGAAGAGATATCTTCACGAAATTTGGCGTAAATTATTGCCCAAGTAGCAACAGTACAATCTCAAAGAAATTTTTTTACATCGTATCACTACAAACTGATCGATCAAAATTAAGTTCTTGTATAGAAAACTTATTTTTTTATAAGATGATAACACTTGATCTAAGGATGCTTCTTTCTTCTTCTTTAACCCCTCTGAAGAATACGTTTTCTGCAGGTCTGTATAGCAGGACCGAACGACACAGAACCTCCTTCGGTGTTACGCTTAATATCTAAATTTAGTAAACACGGCACCCTACGCGCAGTTAACTTTCTCATGCCCTATATCCTGTTATAGCTACATATCTCTAGTGAATTATGGTTTTTTTTTTTAATTTTCTAATCCGCTTGTTGATTCGTATATAATGTACTACACGATAGTATTATCGTTCTATTGTGACAGTGGCGCCAGCAATAAAGCTATTTGTCGGCTATTAAAAAAGACATAACCTCAAAATAATTCCACGAATTTTCCTATTTCTTTATGATACTTACAGCCATTTACACACAATGAAAGAAAAACACAAACAATATTACACATTATTTCCGTTTATTTAGTGTTGTAATTAATTTATAATCAGCAAAACATATGCAACTAATTGTATATTTGTAGTCATTTAATAACTGTTTTGAAAATAAATTTGTATTTTATTTTTATTTTTGTATTTTTATTTATTTATTTGAAAAGTATTTTCTTATTTTTATACGTATGTATATTCTTAAATCTGTTATGTTTCTTAATTTTTTTTTAAATATTTTGCAACCAATTTTTTACATATATTTTATTATTATATTTTTTTTTAATATAATTTTGTTTCCCTTTTTGTTTTATGTATCATAGTGTTAGCTAAGTGTTTTGCATTTTTGTTGCGATTATATAAAGAGGAGGCATTATACATAATACTATTAATAATATTTTTTTCATTATATGTATGTATGTACACATGTTTATGTATGTATGTGCTTGTTTGTTAGACAATTTGTCTTGCTTTTTTTTATAATTATTTTTAATTTATTTAATTATTTATTTTTTAATTTATTTTATTTTTATATATTTTAATTTTATTATTTTTATATGTTTTTTTTTATTTTTATATTTTTATATTTTATTATTTTTATTTATTTATTTACTATTTCTGTTTCTTTTTTGTCTCGCTTGATTGCAATATTTTTTTATTTATTGAATAGTGGTATTTGGTTTTCAAGTTCTCTAATGTTTTTTATACAGGCTTGTACATACGCGTGCTGAATATATGTAGGTATGTATGTATGTATATAAGAGTATGTGGTATGTAAATGTGTATATAATTTTTAATACTTTGAAACATTTTTTGGGAATAGATGCCGCTACACTTTTCGCAAACAGTGAGTTGTTACTTAGCACGTGTAACAAAAAAAAATATTATATATTTATGTATTTATAATTTAATTTAATTTAATTAATATTTTTTTATTTTTATGTTTTAATTATTATTATTATTTTTTATATTATTTATTTAACTTAAATTGATTTTATTTTTTTTTACTTTTTTTATTTAAACAAATTTTTATTTATATATTTACTATTTTTGGTTTATTTTCTTGTTGTTTGTAATTATTTATAGATTTGAATATACATATGTATGTATGTATATGATTTCGTTTTTATAGTTGTTTTGTTATAACATATGGAACATGCGTATTATTTTCTGGATTGATGAATATACTATATACATTATTGCACGTATTTTTATATTTTTATTTTTTGCAAGCTATTTTTAGGTTATTTTACGAAAAGGTAACATTTTCATTACTTTTCATATTTTTATGTTTTATTTTTTACAAAAAATGTTTAAAGAAAATATTTTTTGAAAATTGGTACATATTCGGCATATGCTATCATTTAGAATATAAATACCGTTATAACTGCAACCTTTGCTAGATTACAATGTTTATTGTGCAATATTAACAAATTGCAAGATTTTACTAAAAGCAAAAAAATTAATAATACTTTTTTTTTGTGTAGAATAATTTTTTTAAGTTGTAGGATAAAAAGTTTATTAACTTAGATTTTATTTTTATTGAATTTATTATTTTTATTTTTATTAAATTTATTATTTTAATTTTTATTTAATTTTTTTTTTTGTATTTGTTCGTTGCTAAACTATCAAATAATATATAACCATATAATGACATAAGTACACAGTTACATATGTGTATGTATGTGTTTACTACTTATGGCCATATAAAAATTTTACTATGCAGTCCAAGTTGATGTACTTTTGTTTTTACTTCGGTATAAGTTATCATATACTTCTACGGATATATTCATTACGAATCCTCGTATATAGTTTTGGATTTATTTTTTTACTATATAAATAATATATAATATATGTGCATATTACATGCGCCTAAAAGTATATTACATATCAAAATTTAGACGGACATTTGACATAAAAATAGCAAGCTCAGCTTCCAATATACTAACAAATTTAAAAACGCGTACAAAATTTAACAGGCAATTCCAAGAAAGGAAATAAAACATTTATAATATTTGATATTATTATACTAATAATAAAAATTCCAGAAAAAAAAAATTTTAGAAATAAATCGTGCGTTAAATTGATGTTCAAAAATATTTCTCAAAGCATCTTTCAAACGCATAACTTATTACAATAATTTATAACGTGTTTTTTTTTTTTGAATTTTATTGATACATAATTTGTTTGAAATTCGCCTAAATGTAGGCCAAATGTTTATTCTCGGAATCATGTTGGTGACTTTTTTCTGCATTTAGGCGCATTATTAATAAATAATAAGATCTAAAACTTTTCGAATCTGTAAGAATAAGTCGAAAAATCGCAAAAGTTTACCCAAAAAAAGACTTCAAGTCAAAAAAAATTTTGAGAGTATAGCCAGTTTTATCAATTACCTAGAATTCGAAAAGAGCTAGTTCAAAGCTAGGGGATGTTCGAGTCTCAATCACTGTGGCAGTATAACAAGGCAACGTATACGACACAAAAATGCTGCAGTATAATTATCAACTGAGTAGCTGCAGCAAAATAACAGTGTCGCAATATTGGTGCAGTTATTTGCTTGCTCGTACATGCCCATAGTTAATGAACTTTGCATATGCGTTATTCGTTATTTGAATAGTCTTTCTGCTTGATTCTTAGCTATATATGTAACAAATATTACAAGCAACGTGAGCGCCTAAATGTATGCTAATAAAAGTCCACTTTTGCATTTGTGTTTGAGAGTGTATGCAAGCCCACGTTGAAAACGTTTAGCTAAAATTTAATTTAAATCTGAACTTTCGAAGGAAAAAAGGGATTTTAAGAAATCTACATTTTGAAGTTTTCACTTGATTGCTTTGTATTAAAAGATCTAAGGAACAATTATATAAATTCTACGTTTAAAACTTTAATTTTCGAGTTGCTGACTTTTTAGCGGTATGTGATGCTCCAGATCAAAGTTTGTATAAAAAAACTAAAAACTTTCTCGAAACAATCTGACAAAGGATGTTTGGTTCCCAAAGACTTGAAAATTTCCTAGACCTTGCACTTGCTATGTTAAAGCGGGGCCAACAAAAAAATACAATTTTAGATTTTCGACAATTTTATATAGGTAAGAGACCAAGAATACTCAAAAACAAAAAAAAAACCATTGATTTTTAGATTTTCGGTGTTTTCATATGGAAAAATACCAAGAATACTCAAAAGCTTATTCATTCCCACGACAGTCGTGTCTCAGTAACCGGAACGTACACCGATTTTTAAGCGGCCAAGCGCTGACAACTAGGCATCATTCCACGAAATTACGTCAGGAATGTTTTCTGCCGCTAGAACTACAACTCAAAAGCTCATAGCTCTCATATTACAACAACAATAACACTGTCGAACACAATTTGTAAATAAAACTAATGATTTTTTTTTTTCAAACTAAATATACCATTTCACTAAGTTTTTATTTTCAATTACATAAAGTTTTTATTTAGCATATATATGTATGTAGTATATATGTAAGTGTGTATGTATTTATACATATTTAATAATAAAAATTTAACATAAATTGCAAATTAAATTAACTAAATTGCAATATAAAGCGAATCATTTTCAATTCAAAGGCGACAAAAGGTAGAGCACATAAACATACAAGTCAAAGAGAGTGAGAAGAGTGTAAGAGCAAATGAAGAAAACGAAGAATAAGAAAGAAAATTGCATAAAGTATTACAAATTACGCATAAAAGTAAACATTTACTACACTAACAACTGTATGTATGTATATATTGTACGCGTACATAATTCGGCATTGCAGAGCCGAGCAAAACATGAAACAATTGAGGTTAGAAATAATATTTAATTAATCAAGGTTTAACAATAGGGTTTTTTTGTAGTGCCTAGGGAACAATTAAAACTATACATAGATTTATATTATATATTATATATATATATATATATATGGTATATAATTATATAAATGTGTGTGTGTGTAATTTTAAATATAATTGGTCTTCCCAAAAAACAAAAAAAAAACCAACTTTACTACATACATAAATAACTCTTTTAAAGCGCAACATACATATATTTAATGCATTCATTTATTAGGCAAAATTGCATTTAAGCATTATAATGCAATAAATTTAATTATAAGTAGAATAAGTAGTTACTAGCAACACATACGTTTCTTCCAACGCTCCCGCCGCTCTTCTAACATAAAATTCATTATGAATTAGTAGGTGTGTACACGCTAAACTTTACACTAACAAAATTACAATAACTCATATACCCAAGAAAATTAATTATTTATACAATATATATATATGTATAATGTATTATTGTTGTTTTTGCAAAGTGTTTGACAGGCAAAAAAAAAATTAGACAAAAAAAACTAAACAACTAATGCAAAGTTACATAACATTTCATCATTTATGCTTAAATATAAATTAATTTTAACAAATGAACAATTGTACACACACACAGACACATTAACGATTGCACAATTGTTAATTAGATATATACATACACAACGGTATGTACATATAAACTGGTTTTAGTAAACATAGTTGTATATATGTATGTTAAGTTGCAGCTGTCACTTAGTTACTATTTAGTAAATTGTATTCAAAACGCTGCAAGTTTTTTAATATCCAATGCAAATGGCGCGAAAATAAAATTTTGTACGCAATTTTTTTATTTTGTGAAAAAATAGAATAAATTTTAGCAAAAAATATTTCTTGTTGGCACAAAATTATTATTTATTTTTATTTTATTTTTGAATACGCAGAAATTTTTGAATTTTTTTGTAGCAAATTTTTGGTGCTATAATTTTTATTATAGCTACTTTTTCTTGCAAATTCTGGGGTTAAACAAGCTTTTCGTGCAGCACACTTTTGTGTGGCAAATTTTTAGTGCTATAATTTTTATTATAGCAACTTTTTCTTTCAAATTCTGGGGTTAAAACGAGTTTTTCTTGCAAGTTGCAGCACACTTTTGTAGCATTTTTGTATTTTTTTCGAAGCCTTCAGCAATTTTTAGCGCTATAATTTTTATTATAACAAATTTTTGTTTTAAAAAATGTTTACTCGCAAGCTGAATCAGGCTGTTGTTGCTTTTTTGCGAATTTGCTGGCCTACAGTGTTACACGTTTTTTAATTATGTAATATTTTTCAAATTAAATTTTAAAATAACAGAATTTAAAAATTTTCAACGCTATAATATTGCCAAATGCGTTTGTTTTGTTGGCACAAATTATTCTTTTTTTATTATGCACGTTTTTTTAATATATCAGTAGCATTTTAGCGCTATAATTACCGTTATAACAACTTTTTGTTGTAAATTGTCGCATATCTATATGTTTTTTACGATTTTCTCGCTTACAGTAGTACAATTTTATTTCAGTTCGTGAAACTTTTTCAAAATTTAAAATTTTTGAAATAATAAAATTTGCTATGCGTGCGCTTTTCAACATTTTTTTGTGCTACAATTTAAGTTATAGTAATTGATTTTTAAATTACATTTTTATTTAATTTTTTAGCCTACACTGGTGTAATTTTATTTGAATTCATAAAATATTTTTTTATTTAATTTTATTTCAAAAATTTTTGAAAAACATTTTTTTTTTTTGAAAAAAATTTAACAAAAAATGTATTGAATATTTTTTCTTATTTAATAGCGTTTGCTATATTTTTTTTTTAAATTTTACGTGAACTGTATTTCGCTACAAAAAATTCATAAAACCAAATTTGCATTTTTCAAAACAAAAATGTATTTTCGAAAGTGCAAATTTTTGAATTTCTTTTTAAAATATATTTTGAAAACTACAAAATTGTTGGATTTCTCTACAAAAATATATTTTCGAAAGCAAAAAATAATATTTATTTTCATTACTAGCCAGCAAATATCTCTTAAAATAAAATTTTTTCCGAACCAGCGCATAGTTTTCACAACCACTGTACTAAGATGAATAACGTCATAACAAAATACATGATTCAAGTGTTAAATGCTCAAAAAAAGTGTTTTTTTCTTGCAAGCCAAGCTGCCAGCGTACACTACATGCGTATAGTAATGGTACACCGCAAGAGATGCAAAATTATTTAATTTTTCAACAAATTTTTTACAAGCTGCTTCGTTGATAAATTCAGTATGCGTTTCTGCATTATTTTTGACAATTTTTTTCTTTAATTTTAATTTACATAAATTACAAGTTGCACATTAAATATGTAAAATATACAGCGCATTTTTATTTGAAATATTTTCGCACGCAAATGCCAAATTTTTGCCTTCAATGGTAGTTTTGTTGTTGTAAACAGGAAATTTGCGTTTTTAATTTACAAACAATGTTTACTAACTAAAGTTATTTTTCAGCGTTTAGTTCAAAATGTTTTTGTTTTTGCACATTTTTAGTAAAATTAATTAATATTTTATTTTATTTAAAGTGCGAATACTTTTTTCTATAATTTTGCAATTAACTAAATAATTTTCTCTATTTCAGCGAATTTAGTGTATTTAATATTTTTTAAATTTTGTCTACACACATTTCCAATTTTTACTACTTATAAAGTAAAAAATACAAAACTAACATTTTGTATAATTTAACAAAAAAAATTATATTTTCAATTTTTTCATAATTTTTTTTTTTTTTGCAATTTTTTTAGTTATTTATTTTTTCAATTGCAAATTATCAATATTTTTGCTTGTGTTTTGATGTTGTTAAATATTTGTAACATGTAAATTCAGTTGACGCAGTTGTATTCGCGCTGCCGTCATTAAACATTTCCCGCACTAAATATTATTATGCAATAAATTTCGTATTGAATTGTTGTTGCAAGTGTTTGGTTTTTGTTTCCTTCGCGCTTTTTTTTTGCTCAAAAGCGCTGAGGCTGATGATTCTCCTAAGGAATAAACTAATAAATGCTACAAGTTAGGACAAATGTTGAATAAATGTGAGCTTCCTCATCTACACAGTTATAGCTGTTGCTGTTGTTATTGTAGTTGTGCAGCAATTGCAAGCAATTAAAATGGCATTTAAGCAGCCGTGTCCACCTCTTCCACAATGTGATTCGGCGATACTTCGCTGGGCGCTGTTGTGTTGTTGCTGTTGCTCGCGGCCGCCAGCTGTGGTGAGCTTGTCAATGCGGAGGACGGCGCATTCGCATTCATAGTCGACGTTGTGTTCGTAGCATTAGCGCAGACAGCAGCCACGGCGGTGGCGGTAGGTGCCAACGTTGTTGCTGTTTTGGCTGGTGCGCCGACTACGCGTGCGCCATAGGGAGCGCCCTTCAATTTGCGCGCCTCGCGACGCTGTTTACTCTGCAGCATCACCTGGCGCAGCTGATCGATCTTCGACTTCATTTTGGTGTTCTCCATGTCGGTTATGCATTTCTGACACATTTGCTCGACTTCGCGTTCGCCCGTCTCCGTGTTGTTGCGGTAGCGGCAATTGCATATGGTGCGCTCATTGGCGCCGTTTGTGCTGCTGCCGTTGATGGCGCTGGCGGCGTTGTCTTTGCAGCAGGCGTGGCTGCTACGGCTGGCTGTGGCTGTTACTTTAGCGCCGGCGTAGTGACCGTTGCATTCGCCGTAAGTGCAGCCACTGCTGCTGCCGTGTTGCTGTTGCGATTTGAGGCATTTGACACAGGACTGCGCGTGGTGGTGGTAGTGGTGCTTCAGGGAGAGCTGCAAGCAAATTGGAAAATTTATTAATATTGTATTTCATATATATATATATATATATATATATATATATAATTGTGTATGTGTACGCTTTACACACCTGTTTGCTGCGTATGCCGTGCACGGCGGTGCCGTTGCTGCCTGAAGCGCCGCTCGCCGCGTTTGAACCACTTGGCGCCTCGAAGCTGATGCGCGCGCCGCGGCTGTATTGCGGTGTAGCGCTTAGTAAGTCATTCAATATGTGTATAACGGTAGAGATGTCACGCTTGGGCCGTCCATAACGGTCCTGCAGCGCTGGATTGAGTGTGCCCGAGAAGGTGCCGGAGTAGATGCCTTTGCCATGGTTCTTCATTGATTCAATAACTGCGCCCGAATTGCTTTTGCGCGGTGCCTCCTCGCTGCTGGATAGATCAATCTTGTTGGTGAATACTTCTTTCGAGAGTTTGCGCAGCGTTTGAGTTAGATTGCGTGAGGCCTCGGCGAGCGTACGTGAATCCGAGACTGCCACGCCGGAATCGTCCAATTCGCCAACGCTGTTAGCTGCAGCTGTGGTTGTAGTTGTTGGTGTTGCTGAGAGGGGCGTTGCTGCGGCGCCAGCGGTTGTAGCAGGCACTGCAGGCGTTTTCGTATCCGCATCAGTGCCGAGTCCGCTATCCTCCAAGCTGCGCGTAGTCAAGGGAATGGGACGCGGCAGGGGGCTAGAGCTGGCCTTTGGGCGCACCAACGGCGATAGCGTCTTGGCATGTAACTGTTGTTGTTGCTGCTGCTGATTATGATAGTGGTGGTGATGATGATGGTGGTGGTGATGGTGATGGCTGCGATGTTTCGAGCGCGTTATGGGATTATTAGCCGTTTTGTGTAGAGTGGCGGCGACAGGCGCGCTGCAGCCGCTACCGCTACTTCCTGACACCAGCTTTTGTAACGTTGACGTTGTTGTTGATGTTCGTGCCTCAGCTACAGCACTGCTGCTGCACTCTGTAATCATTGCCTCTGAGTTTGTAGCCGATGGTACACTGGCTCTATTCGTGCCACTCGTTATGGTGTCCATGCAAATGTCGTCCTTAACGACTGTGCCGCCATTGAGGCGCGTACACAGACACGAGGTTAGCTTAGCGGCAATGGGATCTTGACATGTTGTATCCATAGCGCTAGGGCCGGCCGCTGAGGTGCTGCTGCTACTCTCACAGGCGCTGCCGCTGCAAGCACCCTTCGTGATGGGAATGCTCTTTATGGCGGCGGTTTTGATTGGACTTGACACCAGATTCGATAGCGATTTGATGGGTGACTGTTCTAGCAGTGGTGATGCGCCGGCGACGCTGCTGTCCGCCGTTGCGGTAGTACGCGCGCCGTGAAAGCCTGCATTATTGACGGTGACTGGTTGTGCCAGCGAAGAGGGCACATTGCTTGGCGCGCATTGACGCACATGCTGCGCGAGCATTTGACTAAGCGGTGGCGATGTTAAACGCGCCGGCTGTGACATGGCAATGCTCTTCACAATGCTCTGTAGATTCTCATAGTCGCGTTTGCTGAGAAACGAACTGAGGTCGGAGCTTTTCAGCGTGCCATTGCTGCTGACTGGCAAGCGTGCGGCAGCTGTTGTAGTGCCGTTGTTGCGCTGCTGCTGACTGACGATGATATTTGATGTTGTTGCTGCTGCTGCTGCTGCCGCGGCTGTGTTTGTAGTAGCGGATGTGTTGTTGGAAGCGTTAGCGCCAGCTGTTGCCTGCTGCTGCTGCTGTTGGTGATGATGGTGGTGATGATGATGATGATGGTGGTTGTGACTGTGACCGGCAGCTAAGGCGGAGCGATTGTTGCGCTGACTGGAGCGTGCGCGCAGCGCTGCCGAGCTGCTGCTGCCATTGCAACTGCTGCCAGCATTAGCTGAACTGCTGCCGTTTGCCGGATTTACGGTGCTCAATTGTAGTTGTATGAGCATCATGTGATCACCAAGGCGCATGCTCAGATTCAATGGTGTCTTACCGCTGAGAAAATCGTTCACTTGTGAGTCGTTGAGTGACTCCAAAGCCTGCATGACGGTGTTCTCGGGACGTTGAGCCTGTAAGAGAGAAACGAAAGCGCAATTAATAGTGTTTGTGTGCAAATTTACTTGTGACTTTATATGTAAGCTTCCTAACTGAAAGTATGTCGTAATTCATATTTTACTCGAATTTTACTATTTTTGAGTTATGTCACGCTTCTAGTAAAGAAATTTATATATAACTATGAGCAAAGCAGTGTGCGCGCGTCGGCACTAAAAATCCTGCAAGCACTGCGCGCTCATAAACAGTCAGTGGTCACACGCAGCGCCTTGGCAGCTTCACTGGTGGGTGTGGCGCTGTGTTAATGACGCGTGCCGGGACTCATTGCAGGCATATATATTTGCAACCAACTTGTGCAAGAAAAAAGGAAAATTACACAGTCTATATGCACATATATAGGCGTAAAAGCAAATGCGCGCAACCACACCGTGTTATGTAACGGCGTAGACAACAACAACAACAAAAAGTAAAAAGAAGGAAAACAACAACGTACAAAACACGCCTGTCTGTAGTTGGCACTTTTAATTAAAGTAACAGCGCGCCGCATCATGAATGATCAACTGCGCGCGATGCGGCAGCGCGGCGCGGCAACGGTAACGCAACAGCAACTGCCGCGTAGGTGGGTCAATGTCAGTGTCATAAGTAAATAAAACGCATGCATGCACATGGTTGTGGGCATATTGGCGCGCACATACACACACATGCATACGCGTGTGTATGCAAGCAATTGCACATACATATGTATGTGTGTGCGTGTGTTGCGCTCTCATTAATAAAGTGCAAAAAAGGAAAGCCACCGCGTCACCAAATGATTTCATTCTTGATTGCCTGTCAGCGGCTAGCATTCACACCGCTGCGCCCCCTTACGTCCCCATCTTTCGTTCGCCAACGGTACATATTTGATTGTTTTACAAGTGACATAATGGCGCTGCAGTATATATGTATGTATGTCGGTATGCTTGCATGTGTTGTAAAATGAAGCAAATAAAACGCATTGCAATGATTAAATGAATTGCACTGGGCAGCATGTGGGCGTGGGCGTGAACGCATATAATAAATGGGGCGCATGAATTGCGCGTAAAAATTATTTCAATGACAACAAATGCTATACACACACACCCACGACTACTGCATATGTTTGCATGTATGTATGTATGTAAATAAAAGCTTTAAATATATTATTGCCGTCAATAAAGTATAAATAAATTTGTTTGTCTGTAAGTATGTGCAAAACAATTAAGAGCAAGTAAATGAGTGTTAATGTGTGCCATAAATTGATTTATTATTATTTTCTTATTTGTTGGAATATAATCATAAACTCATATGCAATTCGCGCTTTCACGCTCAAACATATAGCAGAGCTCATAGTACATCAAGAAACAAAATTATGAAGGTTGTTGGTATGGTTTCAGAAAGCGAAACAAAAACAAGAAAAACATTAACTTCCATTGTACCGACGCTATCATACCCTTCACAAATAAAAAAGTTGCCATACAAGAACTTAATATTGATCGATCAGTTGGTATGACCGCTGTATGCTCTAGTAGTCTGACCTAAACAATTGGTTCGTTGGGAGATTTTAGCATTGTTTTACACAATAATCTATGCAAAATTTCGTGGAAGACCACCAAAAAAGTTTGAAGACGCCGAACTGCAAGCAATACTGGATGAAGCTGCTACTTCGAGTCAAAAACAAATGGCAGTTAAATGTTGCACAACAAATAACATCAGACGGTTTGAAAGCTATGGGAATGATCTAAAAGTGTGGAAAATGGGTGCCACCTGAATTGAATGAAAGACAAATGGAAAACCGAAAAAACACTTGTGAAATTTTGCTTCAAAGACACGAAAGAAAATAAGTTTTGCATAGAATTGTCACAGGTGATAAAAAAATGGATTTATTTTAAGAATCCTTAATCGAGAAAATTATGGGTTAATCCGGAACAATCATCAACATCGACTGTAAAAACAGATCGATTCGGTAAGTAGGCAATAGCTCTGTGCTTGGTGGAATCAGAAGAGTGTGGTATATCATAAGCTTCTAAAACCTTGATGAAACTATTAATACTAATCGCTACAGACAACAAATGATCAATTTGAACCATGCATCGATCGAAAAACGACCAGAATGTGCCAGAAGACACGGCAAAAGAATTTTGTTACACGACAATGCACCTGCACACAAAGTAAAATCGATTCAGGCTATAATCAAAGTACTTGGCTGGGAGCTGCCACCTGCTGTATTAACCAGACCTGAGACCTTTCGATTACCGTTTGTTTTCATCGTTGGGACACGCATTGTCTGAGCAGCACTTCGATTGCTACACAGAAGTCTGAAATTTGGTGTCTGATTGGTTTGCTTCAAAAGACGAACATTTCTATTGGCATGGTATCCACAAATTGCCAGAAAGTTGGTTAAAATGTGCAAAAAGCAATAGTCAAAACTTTGAATACATCTATTTTTTACTTTCGCATTTAAAAATTAGTAATTCATTTTAACATTACCGGTAAAGGTGAATAATATAAGAATGTCGAGTGAAACAAATTGCCTTTCGTAAGCATAGTATTTATAAGAATATTACCAGCTAGTAAGGTGAGCTCATCAGCCACAAAAGCTTCATACTAAACGCACAATTAGATAATCAATTAAACGAAGTGAAGAATATTAAAAATAGTAAACCAGTTGCGGCCGGTTTTTCGGCATAAAACCAAAAAAACAAAAACACTTGTTTTCTGTAAAACGAAAAACTTTTCTGAAGCAAAGTTATTTATTGGACTGAAAATATGGCTTATATGTTTGTATCATACATATATACATGCTGTATGTATGTAAGTATATAGCGGCTGGCGCGTGTAATAGAAAACTAATGTAATATGAACATGTTACGCTGCTAAGCTTTCACGCTTATCTTTATGAGTGGTGGTTGGAGGCATAAAAGTTACAAGTGGGTATATATAACGGCATGTACTCGTATATACCATACATAGATATATGTAAATAGTAATAAAGCGAGGCATGTGCGGTGTGGCGCTTAGCGTTTTTCGCTGTCGTCAAATTCGTTTGCGTTGATTTTCACGCTTTTTACCTTTCTTTATCTCCGAATCTGTATATATATAATGTATGTGTGTATTAAAGTTTCTTGCGCGCATTTTGTTACAATTTCACGGCTGTTCATATTTACGTACATATATACATACAAGTACATACATACAAACGCAAGCGACATGCTTGTAACTGATGACGCAACTGGTGCTCTTCTTTTTGTGGTCGAACGCACAGTTGCGTATCGCTTTCGCGTTATTTTGTGGATTTTCGGATATTTTACAACAACAGTAGCCACACATTTATACATATATACAGGTAGATAGATATGTATGTATTTGCTTGTGAAAACGACAACCGCGTGTGGCGCTGCCGCCAACTGGCGCAGGCTGACCTTGGTACACTTTCTGTAAATGTATGTAATTATAAAAAAATAACAACAGCAACAACACAACAACAAAAGGAAAACCTGAAAGCAAATTTTAATTTTACATACAAAGAAAAGAAACGCGCAGCCAACCACACAACACAAAGGCGAATCACTAACTTTCTTTCGACTTTGACTGGTCGGCCGGCGAACGATGGGCTGCCTTGCTGACTAACTGGCTACCCATCAAGCGCTCCTCCACCCCCCGCATACGTTTGCGCTTGCGCTTTGTACTCTACGTCGCGTTTACGTTTCGCTCCGCAGTACGCGCGTTTACGCATGCGTGCATAAAACGAGCGCGCTTAGCTGGTACGCGAGTCTACGCGACTACGTATTAAATACAAATTATACAAAATTCGTCTATGCATACATATTTACGTTAAATACAATCGTCATGACTATGTGTACCAGCGCACGACTGGCTTTTTGGAAAACTTGCGTTTACATATATACTTGTACACAGTTACAGCCACAGCAACCGCAGCGTTGGTGGTGTGGCGGTGTATGACATGGCCGCCTAATTGCGGCGCGTTTCTTTTTTTCCTTCAAATAGATAATAGATCGCTTAAAATGGTTGAAGTTTTCCCACCATTTTATTTATGCACACACACACTCATAGACAACTCTGCATACATAAATTAACTTATTAGTTTTCGAAATGAGACTTGTGCGAAGTCAATTTGCATTTCACATTAGTGATCGCATAGTTCGACATGCTAAATTTATTTATGTGGTTGATTTCTATTTTGTTCAGTTTTTTTTGAATATTTTGTTTTTTGTTCATTTTTTGCTTTTTTGTTGTATGCAGCTGATGTAATGCGTTGCTGGCATACATACAAATTATTTTTGACTTATACAGAGTTTTGCATTTGTACTTTGGACATATTGACACATACAATTGACGATTTAAAAAAAAAAATGTATTCATAATTTTTTTATGTGATACCATTAATTTGGGAAACACTGTAGTGACATGTTTAGACAATTTTAACATACGCTTTCTATATTATACGACTTATGGCTAGTTTTAAATACCCATGAGCTATGTAATCACACATTTAATTTAAATAATTAATTGTCAATTGTCACTTGTCAGCTAATTCAGCTTTTTGTCAAAAAAAACAAAAAAAAAACTTAATTTCAACGTAATTTTAGTTCCCGAAATGTTCATTTTTTTAAATTTAGACACTTATAATTGAATTTTCGCTTAAAATTAAATGTTCCACTCTTAACATATTGATTTTCTGCTGTTAGCTGTCATCTGTCACTGGTCATCTGCTTAAAAAGTTTATCGAAAAGCTAGGCAGTGTTATACGAACTTACAAAATGTTCGAAACCAAACTTTTAGCTATTAAAATATATTGATTATCTGCTGTCAGCAGTCATCTGTCACTTGTCATAAGCTTGAAAAATTGATCGAAAAACTTGACTACACCACAGCATACTATTTATCATAAAAAACGACAATTTAAATTCGATTTATTTGAAATTGCAGATCCTTATTTGCAAAATGACAGCTGTCACTTGTCAATTAATGCTTTCTACAT